AGTGGGACACCCATTCAAGGTTATTTTGTGGCATCACATTTTTTTGTTGTTTTTTTTGCGTATAATCTCTTTTGTTTCGAGAGTATTGAAGAATAGCATTGATTGTTAGAGCTTGTAAGAGTATATGACATGGTCATTGAAAGTACAAAGAGAACTACAGAATAAGAGGAAAGTGGATAAAATGTGAAAGTTAAATGTAATTTGGAACGACCATCCATAGTAATCATTACTAATATGGAGCCTATGAAATTGGAGATATACTAGATGCCAAGAAGAATATGAGATTTTTGAAATGCACAAATGTTTCAATTTTTACAAAGATCAGTTAGCTTACCGTCAATTAATATTGCATTAGTAGAAGAATACATCACAAACTATGATCCAAAGAATGGATCGAGCGTAGTACAAGAGTGCATTATCGATATTGATGAGAAGTTTCTAGAAAAGATGTTATATCTTCCAATTAGGGAGTTTGCAGTCGGGATCAGAGAATCAAGTGATTTCAGTCCAGGAAGATTTTTCAAAAGTAGAATGTCATCATTTGAGAAGAATCAAGGTTGGTGGATGGCTAAGGCAATTACACCAGAGCTCATAGAATGATTATGCTTCATATTGAGGCGTTTAGGCTTATATCAATATACCACATATATGTCAAGATGATTATTATTTGCAGCAGTAGGGATGCTTGAGGAGATGGTGTTAAATTGGGTAGCATATGTAGCACCTTGTATTCATGCAAAAATAGGAGTCAAGCACAAAATAGGAAAGTTTACAGTGTTGCTCTGTTCCAACTATGTGTATGTAGTGATTACATTTACATTAAGTCAAGCAATGCTAATAGTAGAGAAAAATGTACCCTTGCTAGTACTTCAACAAGGTGAAAGGAATTTATTGGTACTGACTATCAATTTAGGGGATGTAGTGCATGAAATTAGAGAATTTAGTCGTACATTGGTACAAGAGACAATTCCAAAAGTTGCACCAGAACTGGCTCCTATTTGTTCGATAGTAGAAGAAGAGAATGAAGTCCCAATTTTGTTAGATATCAATCAGTTGGCGTTTCCACAGGGTTGACTACCAAAAGGCGTATATCTTAAGAATACTTTATTAAAGTACATTTTGTAAATACATTACATAGTACGAGCATTGGATGTAAAAGGTAGTGTCACACAAGAATTGGAGACAAGCAAAAACGTAATATTGGAATAGAACCAAAGAATTGCAAAGAAAGAACGGATCATCTTGGAGAATGCAGAGTCCAAGTTGACATTGGAATGGAGGTTTTTATAAAAACAAGAAACTTGGATAAAAGAAAAAGAATGTATCTTACAAATTGTGAAAGGTCAACAAGAAGAATTGCTCCAATGTCACCGAACTTGGAATTTGGAATAAGAAAAAGTCAAGTGTAAGTTACAAGTGGAACGAAAAAAGGCAGAGTTATTAGAACAAGAGAAAGCGATATTGAGTGACCAATATAGATGTGAAACAGAGCGAGTGAGGGCTGAAATTGAGGCTTTGAATACTAAGGTGACAAAATTTGCAACTTCTAAAAAAGCCTCTTAGAAGTTTTATAGTTGTAGTTTTGACTTTATATGTGTTTTTAGGTTAGAAACTTGATCAATCACTTAGCCATGTGTTATACATATTGAAAGCTTATAGAACAAGCTGACTATATGATGTACATATAAAAAACTTTCCATGTAAATTAAGACATGTATCTCGTAATTTGGACATGTGTTAAAAGTCTTACAGAATGTTATTATATAACTTTTAATTAGATAATATATATAGAGGCAAGAATGAAGCTTTCTTCACTCTTGTCAATGTTTTTCTTATTTTTAGTCTACTTTCAAGAGTCTATATTCTTCTTGTCTTTGGCTATTCTAATAGCCATTCTAGTTTTAATATTATATTACTTTTAAAATAAATATTTATTCTTCTTCAGTTACACAAGAGAGTTATAAGGTTCTTTTTTTGTTTTGATTCATGTCCTTCATAATTGGTTATTAGCTACTAATATGAAATCTCTTTGTCAAACCATCTTTAACTTATTCTTACTTCAATTGATTATATTTTTTTGCATTTATACTCAAAAGAATAAAACTTCACATCTTAATTTAGATATTTACAAATTCACACTGCTACACACACACATCTAAATATCTACAATCAATATGTAATATATTAGTTAGTTTATTAAAATATGCATTGAAAGCAATCTTCACACTTTTATTATCTATGCTACTTATAAATCTTTCTCAAGGTCTTTTCTATACTATTTTTTTTTCTTTTTTCTTCAAAAAATAGAAGTTGTAGTTTTTTTAACATTTTTAATAATTAATAAAATTTGTAAAAAAGCCAAATTAAGAGGTAAATTTTTGTGGCCCCTAATTTCTCTTAAAAGAAATGTACAATTAACCTTCAATACCTTGATAATATAATTCTTTAAATAGCCAATATGACATACAAGCAATCAATGCAAGTATATTTTTCTATATTATTTATAAAATCTTATTATTAATCTTAAAAGAATTAAATAAAAATTTTCAATTTTTTATCATAGCTACTTCTATAAATTCAATTATGAATTATCTTATATACAATAATTCTAATACTACAAATCTTCAACTAATTCTATTTGTTGATCCTTCACTACTTCCTTCCAATCAATTACAATTCTTAGTCTTTAGGATTGTTTCTATTTCTACTAATTTCCATTAAATAAGAACTAATAATTCAATTATTAATAATAATTCAATTCAAATCTGCTTCTTAGTGGCCTTTTTTTATTATGCAATTTTTTCTCTTCTCATAATTAGCCTTGATAGTTTTAGTCCTAGTTTTGGTTGCAACAATAAGTCTTTTGTGTTTAGCATAATCCTCTCAATTAAAGCAAAGACATTCATTATCTTGTAGTTTGTTTTAAAAAAAAAAAAAAAAAAAAAAAAAAAAAAAAAACTCTAACAATCGTCTTACCAAAAAGTAAGTAGATTGGTTTTTTGAAGAAGTTTAATTATCACCTCATTAGTAATTACATTAGAATTAGCAAATTGAAGTATTTTGTTTCTATTTTTCTTTCCTTTTTCCTCCCTACTATATTTAGAAGTATTTTTTTTTTTTTAATAATAATCTTATTATTGAGATCTTACCTATATATTTCTAATTTGTTTTATAGTCTAGCATCTTGTGTATTACTGGGGGTTGACATTTGGATTGTCATGTAAAGAGATTGTCTACTTCAAAGGATTCTTTTGACAATGCCTTATATCTTCATTGCAATAATCTATAGGATTTGACAACTCTCAATTGTTATTGTAACAATCCTCTTTCTCTGGAATGAATACCAACTAATCTATATAAATTCTTAGCTATTAAAATCCTAATTAATTATCTATCAAGTATATTTTTGGTAGTGAGCATTGAGTTAGATATTGTGATGGAACAAAAATTAAATTTTTTTAGAAGGGGCTAACTTAATAAGGCCACCATTGTCCTCAAAGTTGTACAACATCTACCTGTTAAGATGCATTGGTAGGACTCACATCATGATATCTACAAATATGCAAAATAATGACATCAATTTTAATAAGTATACCAAAATAATAATAATGATATATATATATATATATATATATATATCAAAATAATCTATTCAAATTAAGCATAAAATATTTTTTTATATTTTTAATAACTATTAACAACAATACAGTTCTTTATTTTATTTTCTTAAGTAATAAAGGCAATGTATATATTATTATCAAGTTTAAACAAACTCAATAATAGTTGGTATAATAGAAATATAACATTGCTTTCTAAAAAGTAATTTTCAATTATAAATTAAGATAATCAATATTACAAAAGATCAAACATAATTATTTATAAAAATATATTGATTAATAAAATATATCAATTATTTTAAATACATACATTCATATTTTTTATTTTAAATAAAATATATTATCAAAAAAATATAAAGATGAAAATTTGGATAAAATACATGTAAGCAATAAAGGAATTTTTTGAATTTTTAATCATGCAAATCCTACAAATTCTAAAAATGATGTTGAAATTTGCCCCATGGAAACATTCCTTGTACGTTTGTGTAGTGAAGAATATGTAGATGTGTACTTTTACTATACATGGGATATGAATCAATTAATTCAGATGCAATTAGATGCAAAAAAATTAAGAAATTATTTGATTAAAGATGTTAATGGCTATAAAAATGTTTTAGATCTGCTAATTGTCATGCAACATTGTGAGCATATTAACTCATAATATTGTGTCAATTGGAATACTTAAAGAAAACTATGGTATATATATATATATATATATATACATATATTGTAGCCATCCACCAAAAATCACATGGAAATCAAGAAAGAAAGCATAAAAAAGAATAAAAAACTAATTATGGTTGTTATCATCAAAATAAAAAATAAAATAGTGAAAATGATTTTGTATGTGTGTGTGTTTGTGTGTTTTTATTTTTATTTTTGTTTTTTCGTTTGGTTAGCTAGTTGGTAAAGTTAAAATTCCATAGCAAGGATTCGATTCTCCAACCTATATTGTGGAACTATTTGGCACCCCCCCCCAACAACAGAATGTCATTTGAAGCCAACAAAAATGAGCTTGAGTTCACACCTGCCATCAAATTCCCATGAAGAGTCAAAGCAAGGCGCCACAAAAGAGCAAGACCGGCGTCCCTCACAAGGTGGGAAAGTGTGTGCGTGGAGGAGGAACCAAAGAACACGACGCAACTCTGCACGACCACCACCACCACCCCCGTCTCGCACCTCGACGAGAAACGAACCTTCTACAACGAGAAACAAGGGGTTCGTTCTTCGGTCCGTTCGTTCGTTCGGTCCGCAACCCACATCAATCATGGACACCACGTGGATTTCCCAAATCTGGGAAAATCATTATGTGTGGAAGGGGATGACCGAGCGCCTAAATATAGACCACACTAATTAATTCAAATCCTACTGCAAGTCTGAGGTCGGGTTTCGGACCAGCCCTAGAGCGGATTGCTGCGTTGGTTGTTGCAAAAGGTCGATTTGCTTTCTCGCTCGCTCGCTCGCCTGCTGTTGTGCATGATTCGGAGGGAGAGAGAGAGAGTGACAGAAATTCGTGAGGTCGCTGAAAGCGGGGAACCCAGCAGCCGTTTGACCGATCCATCGAGCGTCGCGACGGCGATTACGATTATGTGAAATAGTGTGAGCAGGTGGGGTGGGGTGGGGTAGGGAGGGGCTGCTGAGAAGCAGCTTTGGCGATGGTGATGCTGTGGCTTCCTGGTGCCTGCCTCTGGGGAGGTAGTTTCCAAGTGGAAGGCGTTCTAGATCGTTGCAACTTCCGGCTCGTGTCACCTTGCTAGCCCGAGCAGAAAGACGGAGGAGATTACCACCGTCGCCATGTGTTGGATTGGTTGAGATTGGAATGAACTAGAGCTTGGGCAGGGAGTGGACATCGGTGGAAAGGTCCGACGGTGGATTGATTGGAGGGGACTGGTGGGTGGTGGCGGCGGTTAGGAGAGAAAGGTGTGTGGGATTTCGTGTAGATGGGCTGCACGTTTGAAGCTGGGGGAGTGAAAGTGTTGTGTTTTGGTGCCTGAATTTTAGGGAGTTGGGTGGGGTGCGCGAGAAAGAGTGTTGAGAGGCGGACCTTGGTGGAAGTTGTTCTTTTGGGGTAGCGTATGGGTTGATTCGTCTCGGGTCTAGAAGATTATGCGATGCTTGTGGACGTTCTGGTGAACGCTGCATATGTTTTGAGGTACTACACTTGAATTTTATTTTTACAAAATTTGCAGTTAGTACACCAGCTTCTTTTTCATTGCCCAATTTTTTTCTTTTTGTGTTTGTAGTAGAGTTGAGCACTCTGTAGAGTAATCTGACGAGGTGCCTGAATTTGAAACGTTGAACTTAAGTTGTACAATTGAAGATGATTTTGTGTAGTGGTGTTGGTTTCGAGTTGCTTGCTCTTCTTGATCTTCTCAGGCCTGTAGAAAAATGAACAGGAACATTTTGAACCGACCTATTTGATGAGCCAGTGGCAGCATTCTGGATGATTTAATACATTTCGACGTCGGAAACCAGCGGAGAACCGCTGATAAATTGAATTTCTTTAGAGTACCTTTCTGGCGTGCCTTTCTTGTAGGTCATTGAAGTGTATGATCCTCTTCAATCAATCCTGTTCGGGAAATTGACTGTGGATGACAGTTGATTGCTAATTTCTTTCTGGATCTCAATCTTTTCTGCGGGCACCAAGACCATTCATCAAGCCCCACGAGTTTCAGAAATCTTAGTTTATTACCAACTCAGCAACGTTGATTGTTGTGCGTTATGCAGCTTGGGCTGGGGAGTTCAGAGTAGTCAGATCTGTTACTCAACACTCCAGCGAACGGCTTTCTGTCAATTTCGTTCATAGGCTGGCCCGTTCCCTGGAGCATTGCCGCTCAAGCTGAAGGCCTAATGGGATGGTTCAGGCAGATACGGGTATTCTTTGTTGCATTGACCGTCTTCTTTGAATACAGGGTAAGCTCCAGATTATGACTTGCTCACATTTTCTTCTGATTCGTACATTACATTCTATTTTAGGAAAACTCATGTTATGAGTAATTGCCAACTCCACATGAGTGAGGATTTCTTCTTTGGACCCACTTCCAATTGCATCAGAACCTTGTAGTTTCTACTAACATTCAGTATTTGTTTTGGATTGCTGGTAATTGTAATTACTACATGGTCCAATTCAGGTTTCAATTACGATCGAAGAGTTTAGACTACAATCGTTGCGAATGTTTATTTGACCATTACAGAAGATAGAATATTTATTCCTCGACCGTTTTGAATCAATTAACTTTCAGTTTTTGATGAAAGGAGTGAGGAGTGGTGACGACTCGACGTTACCATGGATGCTGATTGTCACTGCTTGATAAATGATTTTCTTTTTAACATTTTGCTGAGGAGCAGAAAATGTGAAGAATATTGGTGGGGGATGGATATTCGATAACGACTCACTTTCGAGGCTGTGTGATGATTTGCAGTTGGTACAGAAGAGAGAAAAAAGGGCCAAAAGCTCGTCCGAGAAAACCAAGCTATGGAAGAATGTGCACGAACGTAATGCAAAACGTGTGTACAATGCCATAGTAGGTCTTGAGGGGTTATGGGTGAAGGCGGGTCAGTACTTGTCCACAAGGGCCGACGTTTTGCCTGACCCTTACATCCAAGTTCTCCGTCAGCTTCAGGATTCCCTTCCTCCACGTCCTATTAAGGAGGTTCGTAAAGGAAAGCTTTGTCATTGTCAAGTAATGAAGAGACTGCTCAAAATTAAATATCCCATAATTTTAAATTTACTAAATTGTTATCAGCTTATCAGTTGTCACCAGTTTTTGTGCAGTTGTCAACTTTTGCACTTATGCTCACAGTTTTTCCCTTGCATGTAGCAATTGGAAACGTTTAGTATCACTACAGAGTTATGCCACGGTCTGTGAATTTTGGAAGCACAAGAAAGTCTACTAGGTCTAGAAAATATAAAAGCGAAAATGTTTACAACGTGCCTCGTTTCTTTCTGAATATTTGTGTCTTTGAGTGCGGCAGGGTTCTGTTGCCAATTTTGTCATGGACCGACCAATCTTAAGTCCTACAGCAAAATGTTCCAGTACTTTGTGCATTGTGATGAATTCTTTTGATTGTTCTGCTGAGTATTCTATTGTTCATGTGGCTGTATCTTAGGTGAGTGCAACCATAAAGAAAGAGTTGGGTAAGGACCCTTCAGAGATTTTTGCTCGCTTCGATACTACTGCACTTGCAACAGCTTCGGTTAGTCTCTTCGTCTCTTCTCTTCACTTCGCGGCTCTTTGAACGCCAGATAAGAGTAGCTCGTCTTTGTTCATTTCGTTTGCGACTACATTTTTCGAATTATTATCTCATTGAGCACCTCATACTAATTAAATGCATTAAGCCACCCTAGACTATATGTTTGAATCTTCTCGATTTGAGGATTTCCTGCAAGGGGTGCGAGAGAACTAAACAATCGCGATTTGTGTTGGTATACTTTTCTCTTTTACAAAAGAAATGTAGGATATCATATGTTAACTGGTGGATAATAGCAGTAGTGTCTGCAGCTCTACATAGGAAAATTTGCAAATAAGATCTAACTACTTTCACTTTCCAGTAAATCGGTATAAGGCGCCACGCCAGTAATATGTCGTACTGGTTGTCGTGGAACTTGGCCACTTGCTAAATATAACTTTCGCAGATTGCGCAAGTTCATCGAGCCCTCACCAAGGAGGGTGTCGACGTTGTGATCAAGGTCCAACATGAAGGCATTAAAGATATCATACTACAGGTAATTATTATTGCAATTGTCGCACTACTCGTACAAATACTCTAAAAAAAATTATCTTCGATTTCTCGTTTATAAGCCTCGTCTATCTATTGCATTTCATGGCAACTATTGGTGATATGCTCACCCACATCTTTGGAAATGCTCGAGGCGGTTAAAGTCGTAAAAGTGTTTGTACTACAAATTTTCCAACTCTCAGTTTGTTGAATGTACCAACGTAACATTTTTGAAATGTGTGCCTCTGGATCATAAATGGGGTTTTATGGCCATATTTTGATCTCTTCTGTGCGTGCCACTGCTGATGGAATGCAGGATCTGAAAAATGCACGAACTATTGTACAATGGGTTGCATGGGCTGAACCTGATTATGACTTTGGGCCTGTTATGGACGAATGGTGCAATGAAGTGCCCAAGGAGTTAAACTTCAAATTAGAAGCTGGTACGTCGCGTAGCAATCCCTGTCACTAATCTGTGATATTCCGCACAGCATGAATTGGTTCTTACTTGAACAAAACTGTGTGCAGTACAAGAACTTTAGTAGAAATGAAACTGTGCTGATTCTTTCTTAATGTGTCCATCGATGTCTCATCCTATTTTTATCTCATTCGTTGGTTAATATATTATCTCATCCGCGCGAATCTTGCATAACATTAGTGATATGCACGGATTGCAAGGTAGATGGTGGTTTTAGTTCTGAAGTTATCATGGTTTTACATCTAACATACCTCAGCACCTTCTTGATTGTAGAGAACACTCAGAAAGTGGCCAAGAATCTGGATTATCGCAGTAAAGGAGCGTCTGCAGAGCTATCCAAGAGCCATGTTGATGTATTGGTGCCAGAGGTTTTGCAGGTTGTTATACCCACAAGAAAGACAACTGAGTAGGACCATGAATGTCTTGATTCTTAATATTGTATATCATAACTGTCCCACTTCTTAGAACGTCATGCTGCATCCAGATGCAGTTCTTCAGAACTTCAATGATGTTCACGTATTTTAAAGGTGGCTAAATGTGACAGTCAACAGAGAAGGTGCTCATAATGGTCTATATGGATGGGGTTCGCCTCAGTGACGTGGCAAAACTCAAAGAATTAGGAGTGGACATGCAAACATTGGTGGAATCAATTACACGTTCCTATGCACATCAGATATATGTTGACGGTTTTTTCAATGCAGATCCTCATCCAGGTAAATATTATATCTTGAGTTTAAGAATTGCCAATAGCTGTATTGTCGTTGTAGTTGGCTTCGTATCTGGCGCATCTGAGTCTTGGGGGTGCTAATGTGGATGCAGCATTATTTGTATCGTGACTTGCTTGTTTTGTCTTTATTACCAGGAAATTTTCTAGTCAGCAAAGTGCCTCCATTCAAGCCTATTCTCTTGGATTTTGGTCTCACCAAGACTTTGACGTTCACTAAGAAGCAGGCGCTTGCGAAGATGCTTCTTGCTTGTGCCGAGGTTCTTTATGGTTCTCAACTAGCAATTAAATTTCATGAATGTTCTTGTTGTTTAGAGTGTATCGAAAGTCTGTGATTGAACTTTAGCTAGTATTCCTGAAAACAGTAGCGATAAATATGCAATCTATGGGGTTGCAGGGAGATTATGCTGCATTGTTGTCTGCTTTTACGGAAATCGGGTTGAAGCTTCGTATGGATATGCCGGAAGATGTCATGCAAGTCACAAATTTCTTCTTTCGTCGTTCTATTCCAGGAAAGGAATCCCCGGTAAGTTGGATTATCTTAGCTTATCGCTTCCGCATTGCATTTGGTTTTCATAGTATGTACTTCTACTACTAGTTATCCAAGGCTTTTTTACTGGGCACTGAAACTTCCGCATTATTACATTCATATCTTGTTCGATATAATCCGCCCTCTTGTAGCAGTTAATGAATCCTGGATTTAGAGTAGTGATAAGTTTTATCACTTGGAAAGAGTGAAGTGACATTACGGAATTTTAAATGCAGGAAGATATAAAGCAGTGGACGAAGGAGAACGAAGAAAGGAAGAAACGATTTCAAGAAAAGCAGAAGGAAGAGGAAGAGAATGGTGCCAGTCTTCATCGTAGCCCTGTGCGGTTTATCCTATTCTATACCCGGTTCAATTAGATTACTTGGATTTCGCATAAAATATTCTGATCTGTCTTTGCTGATAGCAGCGCTAAGGGTATCTCAAGAGAAAATTAATACGTATTTTGTATTAGCTCTCATCCTTACGGTTAGATTTGGTGTGTTCATTTTACTGGGCTGCCTTCGATCTCTTCTTGGTGAAACCTAAATTGCATGTTTTATCTTATTGAAAATCGAATCGCATTATAGATTCAACTTTTCTATATGCACAGAATTTAACATTGGTTTCTCTTTTAGACCCCGCATGTCATTTTATCATGCAGATTTGTCTGACAGATTCCATTTCCAGGTAGATGCTTTTCCAGGAGATATTGTCTTCTTCATGCGAGTATTGAATCTTCTTCGCGGTAAGTGAGAAATGCCCTTGTGCTCGCGTTAATTACGTTAATCATTCCTGTGTCGCTTTTGTGAGCGTTGTGGTATGTGGCAATGATTCTTCTTGGTTCGAGCGCAAACGATGCAGGTTTATCTTCAATGCTCGGAGCAAGAGTTGTGTACCTCGAAGTCATGCGCCCGTTTGCAGAGGCAGCCTTGTTCAGGTGCGTTGATTGGTGCAAGTGCTTGCATGTATCATATGCCAAATCACTTTAGAACAATATGATTTGTCAAGTTTGATCTGGTCCTCCATTGATTATCAGTAGCTTGGCATGTCATATGTTGCATTTCAAACTGATAGAAGCCATCACTTGTATAAGTCACATTTTAAGAGGGATGGAATTGTGACCTTTTAGACCTCATAATTATTCGGTGGTTAAGTAAGTTCATCATGAACTCCTGTCCGTGTTAACAAGCTTGGTTTTACTTCGGCTCTATGAAGTGTTCAAAACTAGTGTGGACTGAGGCAGGAATGCTTGAAAAGGAATTTGAAGTCGCAAGTGAATTAGTGGCTTGTTGCCATCCCCATTCGCTAAAAGATGGCGTAAAAATTATGCTTTGACTATGATGCACTGCGAACACTACTAAAGATGTAGGCTTCCATGTGTTCGACGATTGTGATTTTTGCAGTGGAAACGTCTTGGGAAGTGGACGCATGCTGGAAACTGAAAGCTGGGTGCATAAAACACCCTCACACTCTAGTGTGGAGACAAAACTGCGGGAATTATTGCTTAACTTGGGGCGGGAGGACTCGATCCTAGGTGTTCAGGTTCGTTTTTTTAGTGTGCCGAAATTGAATAGGTGTTCCTAATTGACTGGATTTAGGATTTAAAGTTCAAGGTTCTCATAGCTAAGGTAAACTTTTATTGTAGCAATGCAAGAAAACTGATTAGGTGCAAGATCTGCAGGTTTTCACACTTTCGAATTGCCTGTAAGTGAGGGTGAGATTGTTGTATTCTTGTGTCAATTTCAGCATTTTGCGTCGATGCGGAAACACCAGCTAATCGTCAGAAACACCTTATTCCAGGTTTGTGTATACAAGGACGGGAAGGTCATCATTGACACTGCGGGGGGAGTACTTGGAAAGTTCGATCCAAGACCAGTTCAGCCGGATAGCTTATTCTCTTGCTTCTCAGTCACTAAGGGAATCACAGCAGGACTTGTGCACTGGCTAGCTGATCAAGGGTATATTTCTAATGTTTATACGGTCTGTTGATCTTGGCGCTGAAGATGTCACTTCATCACTTCGTACTATGATAGTTATTGGTAAATGCGTGAAATGAGCAAGTGTGGTCCAGGCATCACTCATTCTTCTTAACCTCGCGTATTATGAGAGTTCATCCATCTTACGGGAAGAGATTAATGACGATTTGAGTTTTAAGTACAAGAATCCAGCCTTGCTTTGGTTGGTTAACTTTGTGAAGAAATTGGCAGCTTGTTATCGTAATATGTTAGAGCATCATGTTAACTTGTTTAGTTACTTGCTTCCCATTTGATGCTTGGTGTCACTTCAAGAAAATGCCTACTTCTACGTCATTTCTGTATTAACTGTGCTTTCTAGTTAAATGTTTGTTTTAAAGTCATTCCTTGTGTCCATTCTTTTCGCAGAAAATTGAATTTGAGTGAGAGGGTTTCTGCGTATTGGCCGGAGTTTGCAGTAAACGGGAAACAAAACATCACGGTACGATATCTATTTGATCCTCTACGCATCTCCATAGTAGTATCCGAAGGGTCGCCTGAAGTCCTACCTGCTACCTTGTATCTTTTCCTGCGGACTTCTGCCGTCACTCTACAACTGTGTAGAGATTGATACGATAGGTTCTTTGTGGGCATTCCATGCATTGTTCGTGCTGTTAAACAGATACTGGTTGGTGATGTGGCAAGTTGAACAAAGCACCGCGTAGAACCCAACTTATGCCTTCGTTGTGAGTTCTTGCTTGAGTTAGTTCTTCTTTTATAAGTGAAAAAGAATCTAAAATCATTTTTGACTTTTTTCCTACAAGTGCAGCTCTTAAACTCCCGTATTTCGTCATTGTGTGAAGGTTGCTCATGTGTTGAATCACACCGCTGGCCTTCAAAATGCTTTAGCACATGAGCTGAAGACGGATCCTCTTCTTGTGTGCAACTGGGATGAAACGTTAAAGAAGCTTGCTGCAGCAATTCCTGAAACAACGCCGGGCACTAAGCAAGTTTACCATGCATTAACTTTTGGTTGGCTGTGTGGTGGCATAATAGAGGTATGTGTATCTTTTTCGTCTTATGAATTATCTTCTGAGATGAAGGATGAGGAATAATATTACTTATTATTAATCGTTAACTCATAAAAGTCTCGTGCATGTTTTCAACGGCATGTCTCTAATTGTGTTTGCTGTTGTTGATGATGGTTGAATTGTCGAGCGCGTTTCTTAATATGTGTAGTGAGAACATTCACTGCTCTTATCAGGTTGTGTAGTGCCTTCTTCGACAGGCAGTGTTATGTTGTCTGACTGAGTCATGGCGTGGAGTTGCCTGCAGAAAGCGTCGGGTAAAAAGTTTCAGGATTTGTTGGAGGAGGTTTTTGTGCACCCGATTGGCTTAAATGGAGAATTTTATGTGGGCATTCCAGCTGGTACTATTCTGTTTCTGGAGCTTTCTTGTTGAATGAAGCAGATTAGTCATGTGATGACGTTCCTGCTCCTTGACTGTGTCACGTTATTTAAAGTTCTTATATTTTGTACATTCCATTTATCGTAGAACTTGTGTGAGTTTGAACAGGAGTCGAAGATCGTTTAGCTACTCTGTCTTTGGATACTGAAGAAGTGAAAACCATGAAGGAGGCAATTGAAAAGCAACAGGCAGCCCAAAGTCTGAAGTTTTTGATCAACCCTGCTGAGCGTTTCTCTAAACCATCTGAGACCATGATGAAATCAACCACACCACAAAGCTCTTTTGGTGGTGAAGACGGCATGTCAACCATCACTGCGCTTCCTGTTTTGTTTAACACCTTATTTGTGCGACGTGCCATTGTTCCAGCAGCTAATGGACATTTTTCAGCACGAGCATTGGCTCGGTATTATGCTACTCTCTGTACCGGAGGAATCGTCCCTCCAGCTTCTTTATCAAGTGAACCGCCCCTGAGTAGACATCCTCATAAACCGTTTGAGAAGAAGTCTGTAGCCAAGGGCAATAAGAAAAATGGGACAAAAAAACCAGATCGAAACACCAGACATGTTGTCACTGACATTGAAGCTCCCCAGGTCGTAGAGCCTTCCCCGTCTGCTAGGATTTTCTTGAACACTAGCATACACGATGCTTTTTTGGCTGCAGGGGAATACAGCAAACTCGCCTATACGGACGAAAAATTCGGTTTAGGTTTCAGAAGAATCACCTCAGGTGACGGCAGTTCCACAGAGGTCATTGGTTTTGGTCACTCAGGAGTAGGTGGATCGACAGGATTTTGTTACCCGGCACATAATTTTGCTATTGCTATTACTTTGAATAAGCTGTCGCAAGGAGGGGTAACTGCACAAATAGCACGGTTAGTAACCCAGGAATTGGGGCTACCATGTCCTGCGATGTACAGTAGCGTCAATGCGGATAGAGGCCCTGATATGACAGGTGGCGTTATTTTAGGAGAATAAACTTGTTACTGAGTGTTTTAGTCATGCAGTATTCTTTTCAAGTTTGTAGATTTACTATAGTCAACAGTGAAGGCATTCCAACTTTAGCATGATTGAGGTAATTCGGCATCCGAGGTTTTTGTGTACGTTGGACAGTTAGCACCAGCTGCAGCTTGTCCACATCAAGTTGCCGCTTTGCGCAAGCAGTTCTCAAAAACAACACGAGTTTGAGGTGTGAGAATTCTGATTGCTTTACAATCGCAGTTCTTTTAGTCTCTTGTTGAGTTTCAGGATGTGGAGAACATCCACTTTGTACCCGTAGTAACCCCAAAAGTTACAGACGGCTGGATTAGGTTTCTTTGTTGAAGCTGCTAGAAAAACCCAGCTTACGACTTATTGTTTCTGCGACCGGGATTGTATGGAAGCTCTTTTTGTATTAAAACTAGTGACAGATATTTATTACACTATATTATCTCTGAGCAGTTAAAGCAAGATTTGTTCATCAAAGCCAGTAAAGATTGATTATCATTCATCTCGAACTTGATATCTCTTGGTGTTCTTTGAGTAATGCTGGGATCTGCAATGGTCTTGCAACTTTGAGGCTGAATTTTATGTATGCATATATACATCACCAATATAGATAGATGAAGGACGAGCATAGGAGGGGCCAGAGGAGATGCACTCTTTTTCATAACAGTCAACCCGTTACAAAAGGTGTACAGGTATGATATGAGAAGATAAAAATAAAAATCTCGTTTCCAAGTCTCAGGTATTACACATGATTTGTCTAAAAACCCCTCACCCAGCAGTGTGAGTCACTCAACTTCTTTCAAGTTACAACTAACAATGCATTGTTCAAAAAGATGCAGTAAGGAAGATTTTAGTGGCACATTGCTCAATATTCCAATTCCCTTCATTCAATCCAGCACTTCTCCTTCAAGCGAGAGAGTACTGGCAGTATCATTTGTTGACGAATCCGTTAACTCTTAGAAACATGACATCACCTTTGGAAGAGACCAGGTGTGTTAATACAAGTATGCTTTATTACGTATTCAAATCAACCTTAAATGAACCTGTCATTGGTTGTACGCTACTTAACCTTCCTACCACTTCAATTTGAGTGGGTTGATCACACACAGAAATATATACAGTTGGTGGTGTAATTAAAAAAAACAAATGTGCAGCAATTTTCCTCATGTTTCTTATTTAACTTTTTTAATATCTTTGGTGTGTGTACATGTGGATATATATATATATATATATATATATATAGTTTTTTTTTTTGTAAAAGTGATTAAATTTTTGAAAACACATAAATGATTATTTTTGATAATGCTCTATTGTCTAAAAATAAAATAATAAAAGGTTTTTACATTGAATTTTAGTGCATTTAAATATTGTAAGATAATGTGTAAGATTGAAAGGTAGGAAGATAATTGATTTTGGTAAAGAATTAGTGGTGTTGAAGTGTATGATCTTTATTGAAATTATACATTATTATTTTTCTGATGAGGCATTGCAACCAATAATTATTGTAATTATACCTTAAAAGAAATACCATACAATACGGATTGGCTTATTATATATAATTCAACTTAATTATAGAAAGAATGCTAGTTGTCAGAATTATAGAACGAAATCAAAGATTCAAATAAATTGGTTTGAAGGATTATAATATAAAAAATATTTTTGGTAGATAGTACAAAAGTATTTACATAAGGATATCAAATGGATATCAATAATAGGTGTGAGTCAATGAAATGACTCATTTATAGATTTGGAACAAAAAATATACTTATAGTCCTAAAAAAATATAATTGTTAGATGAGTTATTATAAAAATACTTAGATGAATGAAGAATTTAATTCTAGTTGCAAGATAATGATTTATAGTAAGAATTTTCCTATAAATTTTTAAAGTATAGTATAAAAATAAAAATAAAAACTGCTTAATAATCACTTCTCTCTATTGTTTCTCTATAGAAAGACATATTACTCTTAAAAATAAGTTCAATGCAATCAAAGGTAGATTAGCTAAATTCATAGTTATCATATTAAATGCTATACAAGTCTCAGAGGGATATCACAAACATACATATTTATCCAAATAATTATTTAGAAAATATGAGCATATAAAATTAAATTAAATTAGATAAATTTGATAATATCTTGTAGAAAAGTTTCTTGAAAGCTTTATAGATGTATCTTTGTTTATGTATGTATCTATAGGTGATTGATAAGTTGAAAAATAGACCAATAAGTTGGCCATTTGTGGCATAGGTTGGACATGTGGCATACATATTTGAAGCTTGCTTTGCAATTTAGACATGTATCTAATAAGTTGGAGATGTGCTATAGGTCTTATAAGATATTTCTATATAGCTCTTATATATATAGTATATATAGAAGTAAGAGTAAGGCATTCTTTACTCTTATCAATTTCTTTCTTTTTTTTAGTCTAATTTCAAGTATTTTTAATTTCCTAATCTTTAGTAATATCCATTCTAATTTCTTGAATATATATATACACTTATTTCTTTTATTTTTTTTCTTTGAGAAATATTTCACTTATTTATTTACATTCTTCAAATTTTTTTTAGTATATTGACAAAAATACACAAATAATATCAAAGCTTTATATTTTTTGATGAAGAGAAGATTATTCTTTTTTCTTGATAAGACAAGCATTTTAGAAGTTTTGGATCATCCACTTCTAAACTAATATTTTTCTTAGAGTTTTTTTTTGTTCTCAAGTCCTCTCTTCTACTTATATTGAGTAACATTAGACATCTTCTTTTCTATTGTGTTATCATGGAAGAACTTATTGAAATGAAAAATACAATGGTATAAATATAAAAAGAAATAATAAAATTAATACTTATAATGCATTAGTTTAATTTACCACTACAAGGAGAAACAAAATTAATAGAAAGTAAAGATATAGAGATGAGCGGAGCTATTTCAATATCTATACCAAATCATACTACTTTTTTTATAATAAAACATTGTTCAAGTGCTAAAAAACAAAGAATTGCCTTATTTAAGAAATTTATTGGTACAAGATCAAAGTTTTGAAAAATCCATCAATAAACTAAAATGAGAGATTAAAATTCAATCTCATAGCAATTAAATTTCAAAATCATAAACAAGTTAAATAAATATTACTTTTAAATTTTATTTTATCTTTGTTTTTTTTATATATATACAACATAATCTAATATTGAATAATTTGGAAGCTATTGTGATAAAATTTTAATTCATATATGAAGAATATAATGCAATTTGAATTATAATCAATAAGTTTTATATTTTTTAATAAAATGATTGATTGGTAACATTATATGTTTCACAATTTTGACAACTTGCAATCAATATCAAGTATAATGATGCTACACTCATTAGTCATTTTTTTTTATAAGTTATAATATGAAATAAAGAAATTAATATTTTACTTAGTTGATCCTTAGATATTGAGTCAAGCAATCAACTTTGCTATGAAGTAAGAGTCTCATAAGTTGGCCTTAATATTTTTACAATTCAATTGCAATACCTATATCTTTTTTACACATATATGTAAAAATAAAAGCCATATAAGTTAATATATTGCATTTTAAAATTCTCACTAAAAAAAACAAAGAGTCATTTTTATCAAGAAGAATTATACTTATATTATAAAGAATCTAAGCACATTGCTCAACATTATCCAAAGAAATAATACAACTAAAAAATGAAGAGTATGGTTGTCAAATAAGACAATATGTTAGAAAATGAGTTTGTTCAGCTACAATAAAAACTATGTGACTAAAATCTTATACAATACCTAATGAATATTTTATTGTCTTTTTTAAATCCTCTCTTTATTCTATAATAGATATTAATTTAGGACCTAAAAATAACAAATCTTCTTTTTTATAAAATGTAAGAGCCTTGACTTATTTCTTAAATAAAAAATTTGTTAAAAAATATAAAATATCTTTAATAAAAAAAAACTAAACATGTACATGTAAAAATCATAGATATTCATGAATTATCTTCTAGAAATGTTATCTATAAAATCCTTCTTATAAAATATATATGAAGGCAAAAGTAAAGCCATCTTCACTCTTATTAAATTCTTTCTTATTTTTGATATAGTTTCAAGAGTCTTTAATTTTTGTATCTCATTGTAATAATCATTTTAGTTTCTTCTTGAATATAAATATTTAGTTTTTTTTTTTTTTTTTTTTTTTTTTTTTTAACATCTTTTTAAAAAAATATCTCACTTATTTATTTGTATTATTTGAGTTCTTGTTCTTGACATGTAGGCATCTTAAATATATTGTTATGTCTTTTGGATTCATAAATACACTACTTATTTTTCAACATCTTATAAATAATATTTTTTAAGAATTTTTAGATGTTTTTGTTGTTTCTTATCTACATATCATTATAATCTATTCTAAGAGTCCAAAAGAGCATGAACTTTATGTTTATTGTGTATTACAAAAACTTTCAAATGTAAGTTTTTATATCAAGATAGAAAAGTGTATTTTATATTATTCAAGTTGATTTCTTAAGATATATCATTTCAAACAATGGCTTTATGATGGATCTTTAAAAAGTTAAAACTATCAAAGATTAAAAGATATTAAAAACAATAAAATATGTCAAATATTTTTTACAATTTATTAATTACTATCAAATCTTTATCAAGAACGTTTTTCAAGTTACAACTCTACTTATACATTTTACTTATAAGGTCAAACTAGAGTGAAATAAAAAAGCTAAAGCATAATTTGAATTTTTAAAGATAGCTTTTACTTTTTTATTAATCTTGTATTGTGTCAATTTTTTAAGGCATTTTTTATGGAAACAAATGCATTAAATTTTTCTTTAGATGCCATATTTTTAGAAATAGGAATAAATAACAAATTTTATCTAATATTTTAATGTATAATTTTTCCTTATTTTTGAGAGTTAACTTTATATTTCTTATTATATAAAAGCAAGAAAAAATATTTTAAAGAATCAAATTAATAAAAAATAAAAATAATCAAAGAAAAAAGTCATGAATAAAAAAAGAATAAAAATATAAATAAAGACCAAACTAAATGATAATAATAATAATAATAATAATAATAATAATAATAGAATTAATAAAAAAAACTGAATAAAAATATTAAAAAATTAAAATATATATTTTTATATTATATCAAAAAAATATACAAATATTTAAATCACCAATATACTTATATATTATTGTAAAGACATAAACTTAGACAAAATTCTAAAAGACAATTCAAAAATATATCAGTAAAAATTTAATTAATTAAAAATTAGATAAAATATTAAAAAATATTAAAAAATATATATGTGTCTGTATATATATAGACACATATACTAGAATAACTATGGCTAAAAATAAAGCAATCAAATAATTTTAAAACAAAGATTATAATATAATAAAATTATTAATAAAATTAAGGACTACTTTAATCTTATCTCCATATACATTAGCTATTAATTAGGTCTTATATATGCCTTCTAAGGATCACAAGGCTTATAGTTTAAGCATTAAATTATAAATTTCTTTAAACGTAACTTCCTAAAATTAAAAATTTGTAAGAGAAATTTCAATAATTATGTAGCATATCTATAGGAATTTAAAGATCTAATATGTATCTAAAATAATTCCTCAAAGTTTCTTAAATAATATATAATATACCTTAAATATTTTTACCTACTTCTATTTAATTCTATTAATTTAAGTAATATCAATATTTATTATATTGACTTTTATTTTATAAGTTCTATAAAAAATAATCAAGTTGTTTTATAAATTTATATAATTGAAGATCTTTTGAATAATATTAGCAAAAAAAATTGACTTATATTTTGTATAAAGGTAGTCTACAAGTCTTATAGTCCTTAAGAAACTTCTGCAAGGCCTTCTTAATAGCTATTATGTGTAGAAATAAGAGTGAGGTCATATTTACTCTTGTCTATGTATTTTTTGAATTCTAATCTTGATTTAAGATTCTCTAGCTTCTTTGTATTTGACAATAGTGATTCTAAATCTTTTCTATCTTATATCAATATCTTATCTACTTACTTTTTACTTTCTTTAGTAATTCATGAGTATATTTTCTTTTGAATTCTGTCTAGATTTATATCTTTGACATATGGACTAAACATCAAGTTGTAGGTTGATTCCAATTTAGCTTCTAAAAAGTACAAAACTTATAGAATTAATTTTAGTTGCCACATGGCATATCTATAGGAGTCTAAAATGAATACATTTTTTTATCCAATATGTTTTCATCTACTTCTACTTATTTTTTAAAGTAATATAAGCATGTATTTTATCTCAAAGAGAAGAAGAAGCAAAACAAAGAAGAGATATAGATTTAAGATTTAAAAAAATAAAATAGCTATTGCCAAAAATAAATATTTTAAAGAACCTCAAATTAAAAATAGAATAAAAAAGATATTGACAAGACTAAATATGGCGTTAAATTTTTTTATATATATATGTATAGATATAGATATATTATCACATTAGCTATAGAAAAACTTTCTAAAAACCAAAAGACATATGGTATATGTATCTAAGTAACTTTGGATAGCTTTGTCTTAGTATAATAATGTATAGCTATCATCTACCAAATATCTTTTTAATTATATCAAATCACTTATCATTGTTTAAATAATATTAATAATTTTTAGTTTAATGAAATAAAAATAAAAATAAACCAAATTTTATATATATATATATATTATAAATAAATAAATAAATAAATAAGAAAGAAAATAATATAATAAAAATAGAATAAGTACTTAGCAAGTAGTTAATAATATTTTTAATAAAGGCAAAGAAAGAATTACAATATATATATATTTATATATATATCAAAAAGAATAAGATGTGACAAAACAATAAGCCAAGTTTGGAGATTTAATGCAAAGAATTAAAGAATATTAATATAATAATACATAGATAAAAAAATAAGAGAATAATTAGAAGTAAAAAAGTAAGAAGTTAAAAAAAATACAAAAATCAAAGCCTAATCAGACAAGATTATGCCATTGGAAAATTTGAAAGAGTACAATACCTTAAACTAAAAAATACAAAGAATTCAAATATGCTTGATTTCTTAAATGTTGGATGTAATTCTTTTATCTATATTTTTAAATAAATATATGTATATAATATGATTGAATAAAAAATATCAAATTATTAAAAAAATATATTTTACAAGACCATGTAAGTTGTAACTACAAGCCTTGGGTTTTTTTTTGAAGAAAGTCTTCTTTACAATATTATTTAGAATAGAATTATCTAAATTATTAATAATTACCTTGTTAAAATAAGACATTTTCTTTGTAGATACCGTTCTTTTGCCTACATGAATACTACTCACCCTTGTATACACACAATAAAACTTATATTTAAATTAAAATAAAAAAGGAAGTAAATTTATACTAATATTTTTTTCCTTATTGAATGAAAGAACCATATAAAATATATTATAATTTTCAAGAAATAATCAAAATTTAGGAGAAAGAAACTATATATATATATATATATATATATATATATAGAATAAATCGTTGAACTCAAATCTTTTGTTATAATTTTTTAAGTATAAACAAGAGTTTTATTGGATGTATGCAACAATGTGCAACACAGGAAGAGGGGAGGTGTCTACATACTAAAAAGAGATTGTATACTTAGTATTTTCTTAAAATAATTAGTCTTTTACATTATTATTTTTGAAAAAAGCTTTGAATTGGCTTAGATTGTTTTATTCTAAGGCTTGTTTAACAAGACAAGTATGTGTATATATATATATATATATATGTACATACAAATTTTAGATATGTCTAAGTAAACACAATTCAATTTTATGACAAAAAGATAGTTTTTAAATTTAAACAAGTACTTTTGGTACCACTAATACTAATGTTGTTCTTGCCAATTTCCACTAATTAACAATGAATAATAAGTATATATCAAGTTGCAAAGAATAAAGCCAAAAATTATAAGAATATTATATTATTTTTTTTCATGAATAAAATATTTAAAATAATAATATAATAAATTATTGCATAAAGAAATAAATAGAAATTTGATCATCTTATCAATATTCTAAACTTAAAACTGTTTTAGCTACTATATTGAACAAAAGAAAAAATATATTATATTTAAAGATAATTTTTTTTTATTTATTATTATCATTATTTAACATAGATTTAACATAATTTAACATAGATTTTATATATTGTGTAATATTGAGTGATTTTTTGTTATTTAATTATATTGAGTATTATATTGTGTGATTTTTTTAAATTTAAATATTTTATCAAAAATATTTTATCACAAATAGCTTTCTACAATCAGATAAATATATGTATTTATATATATTATGTATTTATTTATTTATTTGTCAAATGCCCGAATATTTTCAACCTTGCAAAGTGTTTTGATATTATTTCACGTTATAGAATGTTAAAGAGAAACTTTGCTATTGTACAGAAATGGATACCAGTATTAACTATCAATGCGATATTTTTTGTTTGTGTTATACAAATGTGCAATGAGTCATATGGTAATGAAGCAATTCTCTTCATTACCAAGTGATGAAATGGATGAAGGAATAGTACAATGTAATGTCTCGCTTAATTTCTTGAAATTCAGGTAGTACTGAATGAGGATAGAGCGTGAAGGGTGCAGTCATACTTCAATTTTCCACTACAGAATCCTAAAGATAGCCCATCTTCAGAACCATGCTCTCCGAGCTTGTCCGACGAAAGAAGCTTCTATGACGGCGTCACTTACCCTAAATCCTTTGTTGGCATATGAAGCTACTTTTGCGCCAAAAAGGCTGCGGACATTTAATTTATGGACAGGGCCATTGACGACTGACAAACTTTGACATATGTTTTAACAGGAGCGACGTTCAGAAAAACCTGTAGATCTGCTGATTCCCAGCTCACCGCATTAATGACAGGCATCAACTGGTTTTGATAACGACGAATCCAGACAAATGTTGGTCCACTAAGATTTGAATGCAGAACAGTTACACTGAGTTTCCCTGGTGGTCAGGATGAAACGAGGTGAAGAGAAGAAATCTGTTTTTGATGTACTGGATTCTCAAAGACGTTCTGTACAGTCAAGTTTTAATTCTTGAAGTAGATCGCAGCTAATGGCCACGGGAACACGCGAAGGTATCGACGAGGGGTGACAGACCTGGGTTCATGAATCAAACCTCAATGCTCTGACCTCGATGCTGAAGAATGAATATTGTTCCTGCAGTTTATAGGTCGTAGGAAACAAAAACCAATAATCGCTTAGCGCTCTAAATGTCCTGCGTTTTTGGAGTCTCAATCCGCTAAAGAACAGTCACATAATAGGCATTATGAACAAACCTAAGATAGATCTACGAGTTGCACGGATATGGAGCTCTAAGATATAGAATTCCTCCATCTTCGACGCTCAGAGAGTGATTCAGTCGAAGATGTTTCGTCGTTCGGGCTGTTCTTGTTGAACAAATGTAGTTTTGTGATCCTCCTCCACGCTCCTGACGACCACGAGGATGAACGTACTTTGGAAATTCTCGCTATTTCTTGAACCTACCATGGCAAATGTCGACAGATCAGCACATATTTGAGAACATAAACGGAGATTGAAAGTATGAAATCTTGGAGAGAACAAGAAATGTTGTCGATAGTACCTGATCTTGAATGCTGCCCTGATCTCTCTCCAGATTATTGCACTTGACTCTCATAATTGCAAGTTCGCGTTGCAAAGCTCTGATTTCCATTTGATTAGTATTCTCATGAAGTGCCGCCGGCTGAGGCGTGGCGCTGATGCCAGCTGTCCGTTGAGGATCGGCTGCCGTAGTTTCCCGTGATGTGACACTAGCATTCTCAGTATCGCTGCGATCATCCTTCACTGAATTACTGACCTCAGTCACCGTGCTTCGAATCTTGAGTTGCTCGCAGAAGAGAACTTGTACAACAAAACGGAGTGGCAAGCGCTCGTTCTGGGAAGCATGCGTGCAGGCATCCAGTGAGAGACGATGGCAGTTTAAGATTCGGCACAGCCTCTTCCTCTCGTGCTCAGTCAAGTTCGGATGTATCTGCAATTTCCCGCACATACACACGCATATCATCAGCATGAGAGCATTAGAACTTATTACGAATTAGAAGATATGATTGTTAAGACATGGCATGAATTCATGTTAATGCAAGCAAGCAACGTGTCACATGATATTCTTTTGCAAGTGTGGTAACCTTGAGAAATGTGTCAACTGCTCTGTATAGTCCGTCGTCGCATAATCTAGAACCTTCAGGAAGAGCTTCAGCAAGAGATTGAAACTTGGACAATGGAAGCTTGCTGTCTCTTGCCACTTCCGCAAGATAGGCGTCCAGTAGCTTAGCCACTTTTGCTCTTAAATTCAGAGGTGGCTGACAGCTACCATCTGGAGGGCCGTCGTAAATACTGCGTATATTTCTATTACACGAGAAAGATATTGGACTGTCGCTTTGCTCCTGCAAATTTATCATGAGCACAATTTCTCAAGCGACAGCACATTAACTACCTAGGCTAGCTATTCAGACGTTTGGATACATTAACAACTGTAATCTGGAGCTCTAAATATTGTCCCATCACAAGACTCAGGGAGAGACATACCTGTGTCAAAAAATGGCCCACAATGCGGCGCACAATGTCGATGTCGTACAAATACTCGCTATTGTGTGAAAAGCAAGGAATCAGCAAATCGCTCAAAGTTCCTCCATCTAGTTGTAGACCAGCTCGTCTTTCTAACTCCGCCTTGCATTCAAGGTCGCAATTCAACAAGTAAGCAGCTCGCGTCATGCGAAGCAAGAAACTGCAGGAGACCACATCTTTCTGCTGTGGCAGCATACTGACAATTTCCTCGAGAATAAATTGATTCCTATTCTGCTCAGCTATAGTCTCTTGTAGACTAGAGGGCGCATCTTCCCCCGTGCCCTTAGATAGACAGTTATAAATCAGGTGTCCGTCTGTGATCCGGGGTGATGAGATCGGCGAGTTTTTTCTTGTGGATGCAGCACTGTGAATACTATTGCCTTGTCTAAAGACATTGTGCAGCGCTGGATTGACTAATCCCGGCAGCCATCGCTGAGCGTAGTATTCCAAGGCACCTCCAAGAAGATCCGGCACCATGCCTTTCTCCTGAATAGCGTCCACCACTTCACTGAAACAGTAAATTGTCAAATGTGAGACGTCCTCATACCACCAATCCTTGGGCGCAACCCTGACGACTGATGCTTCAAGTGCACCTCTCTGACACACTCCCATCGTACTATTTTTCTCCATACCAGAATAGAGCCAGCGAACACCTCGTGGATCGGTACTGGCCTTGTGTGCAACAGACTCGGCACACCTCTTCACGAGATGCAAGTCCTCTGCCCATGGGAGGAGTAGTTCACAGGATTGGAGAACAATGATCGACTCCTGCCAAGAATTCAGGATCACAACATTGAGGTAAGCTTCAGCTTTGCTGATAACATTGCCTTCCTCAAACGCTTCCGTCATCTCAAGATATTCCGCAGCGCACCGAACGGTGGCGACATTAGTAGGAGTGAGTTCCTCCACAATGCCGTAGCATAATTTGGCAACTACAATGAACGCTTCAGCTCCTCCAGGCATGTCGACCAACTTGATGTAGGCCTTCCGTGAGTTGCTCGACTGTGATAATAACCTGAAGAGAAGGCCGCTCCTTGACAAAAGCGGGAGCTTGTGAAGATGAAAGGAGATGCCGTCTACCTCCACGAGCAAGTCACTCGGCCTGTCAATTGACACGAACCTGAAACTAACAAAAACGTTGGCGTTGGCTCAAGTTTACGAAAACTTTGAGTAGCGGAAAGCTAGCGGTGGCTCAGACTAAGACTAATTTTGCACAAGCTAAAGCAATCCACTACACATGAAATGATTCAGTCGCCTCTCTACTTCGAGAGTATGTGAAACGTTGCGCCAGCATTGAGCATACAAGTGACGCATTGTGCCAGGAGACTCACCATGTGTAGTTGTCGACTTGCTCAAAGCTTGCCTCAGACGGCTTACTGTTGTTCGTTTGTAAGGGGTTCCTGAAGCTAGTGCACTCCACGATCTGCTCCCCAAGGATCGAGCTTGCTAAGGAGCTTGACTCTGTGGAGCTACCACCAGGTGACACAGGCATTAAAACCGACCTCGGACTTCTAACGAAATTTGATTTCGTGTGCACACGGCGCTTAGAGAAGCTCGGCAACCTGTCTCGCTCCGATCGGGGCATCACCATTGCCATTTCGGTGGCAGTTTAGAAAAAAAACTGACAACTTGAGGTCTATAAACCTCGATGTCCAAATTCTTGCAATATCAAACTGTTGCACTATCCAGCTCAAGCATCGCAAATCCTAAAATTTTCGAAAATTTAAGTTCACTCCTCGAGCACACTATCTCGGGAAATGATCGGATGCAGAGGCTAAACTCGAAGGACCCTTGCTTACACTGTTAGCGATTGATCAAATTAACCTTAAAATTAACCGCTCGGATCCTCTAAGCCTTCCTCTGGGCGCGACTTGATCAATCGTTTGCTCTACGCCGTCAACCACACTCTGAAGCTCATATTGCTTACAGCTTGATCAGCTGTTGCAAATTCCAATCTTAAAAGGAAACATGACGCAATTGACTCTGCGGTTGATTCGATCCTACACCATTCTAGTCCACCATAATCTCATTCCAGAAGCTTCAAGTTCGGGTTCAACGAGCAGCAAGGAGAGGGCTCCGAAGGAACTGAGCAGCACCGAGCAGGGGATTGTAAACAAAAGCGAGCGGCATAGGGAGACCTTAGCGATCTGACAGGAGAGGGCGACGCACGTAATATTAGAGTGTGTTATCCCAAATCCGCAAGGCTGGAAAGGAGTAGGGGGTCGTTGGACTATTGAGCTGGGTGATGGTTGCACAGGCGAGTGAGGAGGCGAGGGGATCGCGAGCAAGCAGGCAGGCTGGCTCATAATGACAACGCCGGGATACTTGCGCTCTGATTGATGACTGCTCTATAAATTCTTATAATTGCTGATCATTTGCCACATGGTTGATTACAACCCTTCACTATCCAGTATTGTCGCTCACACTCGAGTCTCCCAATTTGGGTGCCTCCAATTCGCACCAATGCCTTGAATTCATGAACACACTTTGCACTCAAAGAGGTAATGAAATGAATAACCAAAATATTAACCAGAAAACAAACAAAACAACCAATGGAAAGCGGAAACAAGATCGTCAACGAGAAAGAAGAATAAATAGGAGAGAAAAGTAAAGAAAAGAGAAGAAAAGAAAAAGAACAATATCGACAAAAATATTATATGAGTTAATCAGTGACTTGAAAACAAACATCGAACTGCAGAAATCCTACAGTTGGATCGCTAGGTAGTTTGTTTCGGAGATTGAGAATCTTGTATCGGTGCTTGACCCTGCCGAAGGCTGATGCTTTATTCGATCACAACAGAGTTGGGCTTAGCTATAATTTGCATGCAACCGAGGCATCTTACTAAGTCTGACAATCGCACAATGGTGGTCTTCGGAAAATTACCTCTCGGGGCCACTGTTGGTTATCATAAAAAGCCTTGGAAGCCAAAATTCAAAATCTCAATCATAACTCCCTCCTCGTTTGATGCAGTAAACCTGGAAGGAGGATAAACCAGGCTTCGGACTGTCGCATCGATACCTGCTCGATTATTTCGTGCCTTGCGATCTTATTGTCGTTCACAGATGCACCATCTTCTCTGCTCATGAAAGTTAACGTGAAGCCTGTATCATTGCATGTCCTTCAGGCTCTCGGCAGTGAACGATGAGACCTCGGGAAAAGTCCTGTAGTAATCCAATTCGCTATTCCAAACCAAGCGCTGGTGCCGCTCTGCTGATGCTATGGTTCCCTGCATAGACGCTAACAAAATAACATAAAAAAATAATGAAATAATAAAATAATAAAAAACTCTTCTTACCCTCGACCGGTTTCTCAGTTGACTCTACTTGTCAGACGCTTACTGTGCCTACAAGTTCAATCCAACGGTATGTGCCACGGATGCAGCCATAAAATAAAAATAAAAAAATTCATTGCATCGCAGGTTTGTAGAGCAGCACCAAGCTGAGGTGTGTCTACCTGTCATGTATAATTTCAGCTTCTCATCAACCATCCCTCTCCCTACAGCATGCCTGAGTTTTAGTCCAGCCACATAAAAAGCTGGCCAGGATTAAAAAAAAAAAAAAAAAAAAAAAAAAAACCCTCGAGTTCAAACTCAGACGAAGGTCGTGGCACTCTGCGAGGCCCATGGAACTTTCGTTATGATGTTATTAGAAAATCTAATCCCGAAATTACTTTTCTTATGTCCTAAGTTAGAAAAGAGTATTGCCCTCGCACTGAAGGAGGAGCAGTTTCTTTCATCTGATGTGAGGACTGTCTTGTCTAATCGCTTCATATCTACTCACAGATAAAACTCCTTTGGGGTTGGAATCCGAAGATACAAGTGGCATATTTTCACTAAAATAGTCCAATTGTTACAGGTGCGGAACCGCGAAGTTTCTTGACAAGCCGCAACTTTTCCTAACTGCGAGGAATTCGCAGCTTCAGTTCTCGTGGGCGTGTGACCCCAGTGGAAGTAACCTGCCGTAATCACAATGGTCGGAAGTTAATTGAGGCTTTTGTGACAAGATGTGAACCCTCACAGGCGACTTTCGTCGCTGAACATGATAAATAAGTGTGCCAATCCTCGGTGCTGTTTATGGTTCAGCTAGTTGAATCGTTTCTTTTTGCCCCACTCCCACATGAAACAGCCAACTTCCGAAAAACTACTTCCAGTCAATACCGCAGAAGCTTGCCTCGCTATTCATGAGACCTGACCCCAATTTGCACCTGGAGACAAGAAAAAATTAGAACATGAAACAACAAACCACACCTTCGGTGACTGGTCATGTTCCACCCTCGTTTGGAACTCCCGTCTTTAATACCCGGCAGGGTTCACACGAGACCCAATTTTGCTTCCACCGTTTTCTATGGCATGCCATGCTCCAATACTAGAGTGTAGTCTAGCTCCCACCGTGGCACCAAATTACTGACACTGGACGCTAAGGGACTTCAATGTAAACATACGTGAGGGAGAAGCGTTGGCACGGGATGGCAATCCCTCACCCCCAAGCTAATATTGTCAGATCAACACTAATTCCTGCATACGTGTTAGTTGCTATAAGGTGCCGGAGCATTAAAGATGGTTGCTAAGAATGCGATGCCTGGGATTTGGCTCTCACCAACTAAGTGCCAATGGAAGCAAACCCTAGCGCTGCCCTCACGTGGGGGTATGGCGTGGGGGCCTTCGTAGAGGCTCTCATTGCAACCCCTCGTTGTGCCTTGGTAATTGTTGTCCATCATAATACATTCCGATTTGGGGTTCACATGTGACTCCGAAGTTTCTGTTCTTCGGGATATAGCCCCTCCCTTCACCGAGCCCATTAAGTGATCCCATTTATTTCATGTTTCAATTTTTTGATGCGCTCTAACGAATGTTGGCTTTCGTTATCCATTAGGGATGTTTCTAGATGAATCGTTTTCTTACAACATAATGTTTCTTGAGTTTGGTTCAGTCTGTAGCCTTTCAAAAGCTGGGGCATTGTTTCATATGATATACAGTAATCCTATGCACATACAATTGTTGTACATGTGCTACAAATGACATATGACATTAGCAAAAAAGGAAATGAATTGATGGAAGAAGTTTTTGAACACTAGAAATAAGATATATGTGGCTATTGTTTTGTCTCTAAAGAATGTAACAAGGTGTTTAATGTGGGAAAAATTCATTTTTGAAAATGGATATGTGCACCGTGACAAGTACAAAGGCAACATGGGAAGAACTCCAATCACTCAATGTATTGCATCCTTCATTTCTTTCCTTTTTTTTCATTTTGGATGCCTATATTAATCTCCAATCTTCATTTTCCATAATCAGGAACAAAGGACATTACAAATGAAGGCAACCCATTGACATTCTTTGTAACTAAACAGATTCCCTAAACTTGATTCACTCAATCTACTACACTCCTTTTATGCCCCTCAATGTATGCCAATACATTTGTGTAGTGATTTATTCCCAGTTAAAGAAATCCCATTTTTTCATGTGGAATGCCACACAAAGTCCTTGTTCAAATATATACATATTGTCGAAAAAACTATCAGAAGTTCCATATGTGTGTTCACACTGCACACAAAACCTGATACCTCTACAAATTAAGAGTCTAGCTGGGGAACTAGGAGGCTAAGGTTTGAGCTTGTAGAAATAGTGTTGAGGAACCTACAATAAGCTTATTGACTTGTATTCTCCTCTCTAAAGTGAAACCATGGCATCATCAGATTGTCTCCAGCTGTTCTATTGTCACACCAAAAGTGTTTGAGAATTTGACCTAAAATTAATTCTCATGGGAAGAAAAAACAAAAGACATTATTTGCCTCTAGGCTTTTTTCCTTTTGAAAAGCTCTGGGCATTCACACCCATGTGTCAAAATTTGTTGACCAAGAGAAAAAGAACATCACTTTTTCAAGCATTAAAATGATCTAAGGTACTAAATAACTTGGGCCAAAAATTAAGAACATAAAATCATCTTTTGTGAAATGAAGATCAAAAGCAATTTATTTCCTATACAATGCTTTTGTAATGTATATGTATGTATATATTCACACACAACATCAAGCATGATGTTAACATAATTTTTTTTGAAAGGTATTATAGAATAGATAGATAAATTTTGTGGTAAGTTACTGGTTGGTTATTGACAACCTTAAAAATTAGACTGATGGTTAGGCAGTTTAGTTGGTAATAGTAGGTTGTTAGTAGAATAAATGGTTAAGAATTCAAAGAATCATAACCTTTGGAATCCGTTAGCCGACGGATCATCTTTTTGGTAGGATAAATAGATTGAAGAAAGTAAGCCGAGGGCCAGACTGTGAGAGTCATAAGCCGGGGTAAGCTTGATGCTACCTCTTTATTTTTTTTTTTATTTGCTTATGAAGAATTATGATTGAGAGAAGTATTATTGAATTGATAATCCTAGAATGGATTATGGATTGAATTAAAATGGAAGTAGTAAGCCTCGATGTTTTGTAGTTTGATAATTGATTTTAGATAGCCAGAGTATAGTCAATTGTGATACTAACACATCCAATTCATATAACCAATCTTTCCCTGTGTTCAAACCCACTTCTATTAGTTCAATTGCTTTACTCTACTAAAATTTGAATGCAACGAGAACAACATTTTGGCGCCGCTGTCGTATTACGTGCTTCCTGCTAAAGAACGCACCGGGCGTTTGGCTGTAGAAGGTAGTATGGAGATTCGCCAATAGTCAAGCAGTCTATCAATTTTTGACTGCTCGATTATAAACGACTGCAAGAATACACCGTAAATCTATACGGATGCCCTTCGACTGCTTGTCGAAGTCCTTTTTGCCCTAGCCGGTAGGTCTCTAGACGTTACAGAGAACCCCGAACAATCCAATCTGCTAATCTCTGATACTGCTTTGTACTTACAATCTTGTATCCACTGACTGTCTTATTAGATTAACCCAATAAATTTCATTCACTCCACATATTCAATCCTATAGACACTCTTTTAATCCTTCAATCACAGACGTAACTCGATTTCACAAAACAGTCAAGAGTGATCACACCCACTTCATTAAAAATCCCGATTCACCATTACAACACTGACTTCAGCAACGATTGCCTCAGTCTTTCCAAAACTCTATGAAGAAGAAAAATCCAATTCTCCGTCTTTTCTTCCCCAACCTGAAGCATGAAGCTCTTCTCTAATCCTTCTCAAAAACTTTTTCTTAAAACTATTCCCCTCCCTAACCTTATCCTCTGAATTTCTTCAATCTTCCGTCTTAGATCCGGAATTGGCTCCCACCGTCAAGCTTGGATCCAAAATTGGCTCTCGTCGTCAGAGCTTTCTCCTCCGTTTTTATCTTTAAGAAATCCATTTCCTGAAAACAACGTTCTTTGAAACGGCACAGAGAATAGGA